ATCATGATAAACACATTTGGAATTCAGCACGATGGTTTCCAAGGGGAACCGTGTGGAGGTCGACCTGACAAGGTATATTGCTAGCAATGGGACTGATAGACCGTCATAACAATCTTTTCCCCCCACACAGTCCTGTTTTTTTTAATGGGTGAAAATGGCCTGCGCTATTGGTATACACTGGCGGGGCACCAGTGAAAGGTGATAGGTGAGGATGAAAAGGCAGGTCTGTTAGCCCATCGTGACGAATTTAACGACAAATTAGTCACTATAGTTTCCAGAGGGAACCGCGTGGAGTTCGACCTGATAGGGTATATTAATAGCAATGGAGACTAACTTCCCTATTACTAACAATCCCTTCCCCCCCGCACAGTCCGGTTTCAGAGGAGCTTCCTCCCGTGAACACTCAGGTTCTGGAATGATCTTACTGCTGAGGCTTTCCCTAGAGCATGGGGTACTTAAAAAAAGGCATATTAAGATTTCTTAAGGGTTGGCAACATCCCTGATGTTATAGGGATTCATAGGCTTCAATAACTCGGTTTACCATTACACTGGCCGTATGCGTGCTTCATAGTGCATAGTTGTAGAAAAAATATGGCTATTCTAGTGATGAAACCGTGTTTATCGATATTTCGTATCGATTGTCGACAGTCGAGTCCCTATTCGACGCATTACATTCCGAGCCATTAGCCGTCGATGTCGCGGGGGACATTTTTCAATTACTCTCCCTATCTCTGTACAAGCGTGAAAACAGTTTTAAGTTTTATTTCGTTTCGTTATTTTTTTTTACGACGGCTGTGAAAAATAACTTGGGAGCATGATCGAGCAGGTGTTATTGGCGATAATGCGTACCTACTAACCACTGTTATAAATGCGAAAGAGTACGTACGAATGAGTCGTCGATATTTGCTACTCTTTCGCGCAAAAAGTATTGAAAAGCTTTTTATATTATTAATTATTAATAGTCCCCATTCGTGTTTCTACCGTGAAGCAGTTGTGTTTGCATGGCTGTGTTTCGGTTTGAAGGGTGGGATATGGCGTGAATTTACAGGGTACAGAGGAATAACACCTGAGTCCTCAGGAATGGTAACGCATAGGGAATAACATGGACGAAACAGTTTACTCTGTTATGTCCATGATACTGCTCTTGTTTACAGGCGACGGATACCACTTTCCATCAGGTGGGCCGTCAGCTTGTTTGCCATTCTAAGTTGTATAAAAAAATCAATGTCCAGAGGAACCCAATATATAGATACCGAATCGGTATCACTATTACCCATTCCTAGTTCTATGTTGATACGCTTAGACGAGCGTTACAATATTCATCAAAAAAACACACACACATGTACATAATGACAGCAAGTGTATTGTAATTTGTAACTTTGTAAAAGATACCGCGAAACGGATGGACGCTAGTAACTAGCGTTGCGCAGCAATCGTTGTGTGTCGATTGTTGATCGATATATCGATTGTTGATCGATATATCGATTGTGTTTAATAAGAAGCGTAGTGTTTGATTAAAATAAATAAATTTAAAAATAACATTTGTTCTTACTTTCCTAATGAATTAAACTAACTTAAACTGGGGGAAAGGGATTGTTAGCAATAGAGTTTGACAGCCCCATTGCTAGCAATATGCCCTATCAGATCGATCTCCACGTGGTTCCCCCTGGAAACCATCGTAAACAATTCTTGCTAATTTCGTCACGATGGGCTATCTGGCCTGCTTCCTCACCTATCATCTATCACTGGTGCCCCGCCGGTGTATACCGATAGCGCGGGTGGGGTTACCATTCCATTATCGCTCATTAAAAAAAAACTAACGTAAACTTGAATTATATATGTTACAAGTATCTAGATAAATAATATAAAGAGGAAAGGATAGATTTTTTGTTTGTAACCCATAAATATTCAATCAATTTTATTATTAATAGCGAACAGGTGGTATATAATATTTTAACCGACTTCAAAAAAGGAGGAGATTCTCAATTCGGTTGTGTTATAACTCCTTCATATGTAAACCGATTTGGTAATTTCATTTTTTCATAATAACTGATGGAATCGATTTTTTGTGAAACACAAACTTAAATTATAAAAAATCATGCAAATATAGGGCGCGTCGCTAGTATAATATACACATGTACACTATATAATAATTAATTGTAATATATATCGATGTTTAAACGATGATTAATCGACAATCGATCATGAGACATCACTACAAGCCACTTCACTCACGTTATAACTCATAAACAAGGCTGTTAACCAGTTAATTGATCGGCACTGCCCTCCCATTACTAAACATATTACTTAGCTTCACAAATGATTTGATCTATTAGAAAATAATCAATTAAAACGTGTTTCCTTTTTTTTTGCGAATATACAGATTTATAGTTGCACATCACTAGTAGGTAAGTTTTTTTTCGTTGCTGCGCTGCCATAGATAAGAGTGTAAACTTTTTTTTTTTAATTTATAGAGTAATAATAATTTATATAGTGGCTTGCAGTAAAAGGTTTTTATTTCTTTTTTTTTTTTTATTTATTTATTCTACTACTATATTCGAAATGCAAAAAAAAGTTTGTGAGTATAGATTATACATGAATGTTTGTTACTCTATCAAGCAAAAACTACTTAACGGATTCGAATGAAATTTGTACCACGGATAGGTTATCATAACTTCACATAAAATACACTTTATTTATTTACTAACTGAAGGTGTAAAAAAAAATGCTATAAAATATCTTTGGTCGCGTACGCTGCGGAAACTATTGGTGATAGAACAAAAGTATGTTCTACAATATTGAAGAAAATATCGATAACTACAAAAAACTTCGCGATACTATAATATATGTCCAACTATTATCGTTATGTCACAATAACCACATTTTAAAATGTTGTAAAAATGTCCACCCGTGTGAAGCCGGGACGGGCCGCTAGCTAGATATAATTTTAAATGTTGTTATTATTTTTAGGTTTGTAAAATAAACCTACGGCTCACTATACGTTTTGGGATACTGTAAGTGTGGTAATTTATAAATAAATAAAACCGGATTCATGAAGAGTTCCAATGGGAATGATATGCGGGAACTACATAGAAGCGGGCAACGCCAATGTCAATAAATGTTTTCTTTCTTTCTTTCTTTCTTTCAACGCCGTGGGAAAGGGCTAGTTTACAATATACATATATAAGGTTGTAAGCATAGAACGTAAGACGTAGTAAGCACATTGCATGTTGATTGCTACTCTCAACCCTACAGCAGTGGTACCAGGCCGTCCCTAATTGAAATAATGACTATAAAATACATATTTGAATTGTACTTCTCAAACGACCATATTTATTGATTTGTATATATATATATATATATATATATATATATATATTTTATGAATGAGAATGAACACAGGCCAGTTAGCGCATCGTGATGAATTCATCAAGAATTAACCATGATAGTTTCCAGGGGGAACCGCGAGGAGGTCGACCTGGTTGAGTATATTGCTAGCAATAGGATTCTCAGTCTCCATTACTAACAATCCCTTTCCCCCCATTTTAAATTAGTTTAATTCATTAAGAAAGTAAGGACAAATGTGATGAATCGTGATAAATTCATCAGGAATTAACCATGATAGTTTCCAGGGGGAACCGCGAGGAGGTCTACCTGGTTGGGTATATTGCTAGCAATAGGATTCTCAGTCCCCATTACTAACAATCCCTTTCCCCCCTAAAATAATCAGCTTACTATAATCCATATCTAAACTACATTTTACTTACTTTCGTAAACAAACTGGTCACACCCCTAATAATACAACCCCTTCTAAACCACGAATCTAACCTTTAAACTAAATAAACCGAGACATGGTTCATAATTCGATAACCATGCCCCAGAGAACATCCCTCGAGATGTGAGGGGTGGGTGGATTTATTATTATTAACTGCAGATTGCCCATTCAAGGGTCGCGGGTTTGATTTTCTGGAAAATTTGTCGTGAACTTTCACGTGATGTTCGGATAGGCATTTTTATTACGTCGTTCCAGTAACGAGATTATGTTTTAATGAATTCGTATTGTACACTAATATTATATTATAAAGAGGAAAGATTTGTATTTTTGTGTGTATGTATGTTTGTAATGAATAAACGCAAAAATTACTTTGCCGATTTCAAAAATTCTTTCACCATTAGAAAGCTACATTCGCCCTGAGTAACACAGGCTATATTTATTGCTAGAAAAATTTAGGGTCCTTACTAAAACTTTAGTAACGTAACTCAAGGTGTAAAAAATGCTATAAAATATCTTTGGTCGCGCGCGCTGCGGAAACTATTGGTGAAAAGTATGTTCTACAATATTGAAGAAAATATCAATAACTACAAAACACTTCGCGATACTATATGTCTGACTATTATCGTTATGTCACAATAATCACTTTTTAAAATGTTGTAAAAATGTCCACGCATGCAAAGCCGGGACAGGCCGCTAGTCTTATAATTTGAATTACCAATCCCTTATGAAATAAGTTTGTGTCTCAAAACAAAATTGACTTTAAGGGTCACAAAATCAGATATTTTGGTCTAAAAACAAAACGACTGAACCAATTTTGATAAATTTCTATGCGATAAATGACAATTTTTTCTATGCAACTTAGAATGGCAAACAAGCTGACGGCCCACCTGATGAAAAGTGGTAACCGTCCCCTATAGACATGAGCATGAGTCCTCAGGAATGGCAACGCATGGAGGGTATCATGGGCGAAACAGTATACTCTGTTATGTCCATGGTACTGCTCATGTCTATAGGCGACGGTTACCACTTTCCATCAGGTGGACCGTCAGCTTGATTGCCATTCTAAGTTGTATAAAAAAAAAAATGTTACTGTGTTTCACTTGAACTGTTCACTTGTCATTGTATATTTTTGTATATGGTGCAATAAAGAGTTAAATAAGTAAATATTCCACGGTGGTGGTAAAAATTTTTTTGGTGTGGTGAACACCATTTATGCTGTACTCACCGGAACTAGGACGATCACTGTACCGAGTGCAGTACACCCATGCCGGCCACACCATTGGACCGTCCCCACTCGTCGACCCTGTAACATACAACACCATGAATACCAAGTACCAAAATTGGCAAAATTGATGGCACGACACCATAATTTTTTTTTATCACATCTCCCATATTTAGAACTAACAAAATTTCTCATCGTGCCTCCCACCAAACTGTTTATAATTACTCCTCTCCATCCAAAGGTTGCCTGCAAGAGATCGCTCTTTGCGATAATGCGTCTATGTCTGGTTAGCATACTTATTACTTGCATACTTTTCGTGAACAGTATTTATATATTTTTATGTATTTGTGTAGGCGTTTATATCCATGTATGTATATGTGTGTATGTATGTATGTATATGTTTTGTATATGTGAAAATATATATATATATATATATATATATATATATATATATATATATATATATATATATATATATATGTATATGTGTGTGTACAACGTATGTATATAAATATAATAATGAGTAGGGATAATATTTATATTATTATATGTATCACATCTCCTACATTTAGAACTAACAAAATTTCTCATCGTGCCTCCCACCAAATTGTTTATAATTACTCCTCTCCATCCAAAGGTTGCCTGGAAGAGATCGCTCTTAACGATAAGGCCGCCCATTGTTTTCTCATTGTGATTATTTCTTGTAATTGTTTATATTTATAATAAGTTTACTATTGTAATCTTTTGGAGGGAACAATAAAGAGTATCTATCTATCTATCTATAATTAAGAAATATTGCCGTGTATGCCCCTGTATAGAAAAGGCCACCCCTTCATTTCCCGTGGGTGTCGTAAGAGGCAACTAAAGTAGGACGAAGGATGAGCAGCAGCGTCCTTATTAAAACATTACCAAAGCCTAACTGCGGTTGCCAATCCGCCTGCCAAGCGTGGCAACTACTGGCAAAACCTTTTTAGGGGGAGGCTTATGTCCAGCAGTGGACAGTTAAAGGCTGATTTGATATTGATAATAATAATTATAAAAGAATAATATAAAGATATAAATATAGGATATATACTTGTATATGTAAATAAACAACCCTTAGATTATATAGATAGAGTGTCTTCATACAAATGAGACTTTGTACAAAAGTCGATTGCTTGGGTACCTCTGTCCCATTCGTGTTTCTACCGTGAAGCAGTTGTGTTTGCATGGCTGTGTTTCGGTTTGAAGGGTGGGATATGGCGTGAATTTACTGGGTACAGAGGAATAACACCTGAGTCCTCAGGAATGACAACGCATGGGGGTATCATGGGTGAAACAGTATACTCTGTTATGTCCATGGTACTGCTTATGTCTATAGGCGACGCTTACCACTTTCCATCAGGTGGGTCGTCAGCTTGTTTGCCGTTCTAAGTTGTATAAAAAAAAACTTTTTCATACAATTTCGCGTGATAAATAGTTACGAGTGTTTCCTTTATAACTTCAATATTTATTTTGTTTTATAATTTTTCGCGTCTTTTCAATGCGTAAACACTAATTTTATTTATTAAATAATTAAATATAGATACATCAAGATACATTGTGTGCGTAAGTATATAGAACACTGATACAACAAAACGAGTCAGCTAATTTGACAATTAGCTAACAAAAAGTTGACCCGTTTTGAAGACTCGATGCTCTATCTATATAATTTAAAAAATATATATATATATATAGTTGCAATCGACTAACCAATAAAATCTAATCACAATGAACAATTTTGTATCGTTCTTCGAATATAGAAGTACCGTCACTTCCATAGAAGAGTCTAATTATGCCACCTAAGATTACACTAACCTCTCATTATGCAATTGGCAGCCTATTTTTCAAAAATTTATTACCAATTGACATGAACATCCAATTAAATACAATTAGGGAGTCATGACATGATCAATTCTTCACTATTGTTTTACTTAAAATCGAATTACTGTCATTCGATGGCAATAATCACAAATCAACACCTTTTTAACATGCTTTACAGAGATCGGAATATTTCTCATTCATTCGTTTAGCCGTGTGGTCCCGACATAGAATAGGCCACCCCTTATTTTCCCGTGGTTGTTGTAAGAGGCGACTAAGCAAGTTGGAAGGAGGGATTGTTAATAATGGGCCCCATTGCTAGCAATATACCCAATCCCCCTATATAACAAATAACCAAATCCTACCTGAAAACCATCGTGCTGAATTCCAAGTGTTTTCATCACGATGGGCTAATTGGCCTATCTTTATTCTCACCTATCATACTGCGCTCGTGCCCCGCCATTATATGTATGTATACTATAGCGCCGGCGGGGTTACCATTCCATCACACATAACAAAAAAAACTAAGCAAGCTTATAATAGAGGGATGGGCAGTAGCGTCTCTTATAAAACATCACCATAAGCCAAACTGCGGTTGCCAACCCACCTACCAAGCGTGGCAACTACTGGCAAAACCCCCCTCATGGGGGAGGCTATGTTCAGCAGTGGACAGTTAATGGCTGATACAACAACAGCTCATTCGATCTCTAGATAGAAAAAAAATATACGGTCAAACATGGAACCTCCTCCTTTTTTGAAATCGGTTAATAAGCAGTGACAATATTTGTCTGTTTTCATGCAGCATAGACTGGCAAACAAGCTCAGGGCCCAATTGAAAAAAAAAAACCCACCTATTTGAAAGTGGTAACCGTTCACTAAAGACATGAACAGCGCTGTGGGCATCACAAATGCACTGTGATGCCCATTCGTCATCAACATACCAGCCGTTCCATTACTGAACATAGGGCTTCGCCTATTAAAGAGTTTTAACAATAGTTGCCATGCTTGGCAGGCGAGTTGACAACTGCAGGCTTTAGTGATGTTTTAAGAGGTATGCTGCTGCCTATCCCTCGATCATTGAGTTCTCTTAGTCGCTTCTTTTAATACCCCCAATAAAAGAAGGGGCCACCCCTTCCTTTAATCTTCATTCTGTACCGGGATCAAAAGACATGCCCATGAATAGCCCCAATATATATGTGTATTGATTATAGGCTGTGAAGAAGGGGAAACTTCAGATTTTGAAACTGACTGTTCACACACTAAATATTCAGGTTCTACAAGAGGTTAAGTTTCTTGAACTGGATGGAATATGAGAACAAGTTCTGGTTGCTGATATAAGGATAGTACCTCAATGTGATCAGGATGCTGGTTAAATTTATCTTCGACAAAGACAACATCAATGGCTATTAGAATCTTTTTAGGATTTGTGCGGTCTATAAGAAGATAGCCTATACTTTCTATAGGATATTCTATTGTCTATTATCTATTGCTTTGCCAACGCATGGGTGTTTTTGGGAACTAAACGATTATGCCTTCGTGCCTTTTAAATACACTGCTGATACCGATATGGAGACATGGAAACATTTTCTTTTTAAAAAGGTTTAAACTTTACTTGTTTCAGATTTTCTGCATTTAGAAATTGGTCTGATAATATTACAAAATCAATAACATTTGTCATGACTTATTCTGAGCCTGTATAAATAACCTATGACTAGAAGCATAAAGGTTTTACTGCTAAATAAATTAAATAATTCTCTTACCAGATCCAGACCCTTGGTTACTGCTGCCGTCTTCAACTTTAGACAAGTCAATTGCACCTCCTTTCTCAGTTGGTTTCACTTCAGGCACCCTCGCTTCTAAAACATCAGGCTTAGGAGGCACGACTTCCTTCACCGGAACCGGTTTAGTTTCATACTGCCTCGTCTTCAGATTTTTTCGCTTATTTAAAGGATCCGTTATTCGTCTCCCAAAATCAGCTTTTAATATATTATCTATACTAAATTTCAGACAACTCTGATTGATAAAATCCCTGGCAGACTCGTTTTCTGGTGACTTTGGACTCATATAATTCAATCTTCTATTCTCATCTGTTCTAGTACTTCTTAATTCTTGGGTTTGATTCCCGTTTTTCCTGACACCAAAATTCAATCCATAGTTCACGCTCATATTATTCTGTGGTATGGGCATTCTTATACCAGATTTCATATCGACCTGATTGATCAATGGGTTCTGAAACAACAACGGTTGGTTCAAGAACATCAGCGGATTTGGGGTTATGGGGCTCGGTCGAAGAAGTAAAGGTTGGTTCATGTTTAAATTTTGACTCAACTGGGATATCGCATTCAGGTGTGTTTGGATGTGTTTGAAGGACGTCAAACTTTGTGTTGTATCTTGGGATTTTTCTGTCTGGTCGAAATTGGAAACCGGTGCCTCATTGCCGACTGATAGAACTGTATCATCGCTGCAACAGGAGTTGTCGTCTACGCTGATCTCGGCTCTCGATTCGTTCGTTTGATTTTCATCGTCGTCCAACTGAGGACTTACGCTCTCGGAATTTCTAGAACTTTCTATTGTATCATCGAAGTTTGGTGTGTTCTGCAGTAGTTTTTCCGTCGAGAACACATTTTCTGGGCTGTTGCTATCTCTTTCCTTCTTCAGAACGTTGTGAATGGAGAAAGAGGACGTATGTATCGATCTTTCTTCTTGCTTTTCTTCGTCGTGGTACTCAGGACTGGTGGTATCTCTCGTGTTCGGCGAGTAGGGCTCATCGTCACTCTGATCTTGCACTTTTATCCTCGAATCTTGAAGGTGGACCGTAGTAGACACGGCTGCCATTTTCTTCTTCTCTCGTTACGCCATCTGGTGAGAAAAATGTTTCATTAGAATTTTACATATGTGAATGGATTCGCCTCGAGACTCCCATCTAACCCTCCCCGTTGGGAGAAAGGGATTGTTAGTAATGAGGTCTAACAGCCCCATTGCTAGCAATATATCCTGTCAGGTCGCCCTCCTCGTTGTCCCCCCTGGAAAACATCGTGTTAAATTCTGAGTGTATTCACACGATGAGCTAACTGACCTGCCTTTTCATTCTCACCTATCATCTCTCACTGTTGCCTCGCCAGCATATACCGATAACGCAGGTGGAGTTATTTCGAAATTAGTCGAGCTTTTTCGATCTAATTAGACGTAAGTAACCGATAGTTATTAAATTAAAACAAATTAATTATTCATTTTATGTATTAAAGACGTCATAGAAACATGTGATTAAACTTTGAAATTTTCAATAAGGATAAGGCATTAGGCCTTATTTGAAACGATACATACTTATTGACTTACGTGACGAATTTCATAAGAAAACCTGTTTCTTTTTAAAGTCATTTAAAAAACTATGTTTTTTACTACATAAATTTACCGCCTAAATTATATTATAATAAGCGTATTATTTTGAAATCTACAAAACCCAAAAATAATAAACAAAAAGGAAACCCGAAAACAATAAAATTTTATCATAATTAATACTAATTTGTAAAACTACACAAAAGAGCCAATTAATTAATTAATTATTTTTAATTAATTCTACGAATGCAAGAGAATGTAATAAAATAAATTATTCTTCATGTATTTTTAATTAACTCACTTCCAAAACTACCGCAGTACAGGTTCGCCTAGTGCGGGGTCCAATGTACCCATGTTGCATGAGTACATTGGACCCCGTACTAGGCGAAACTAAACTAAACTTCTTGTGTTTAATAAATAAATAAGAAGAAGCTTCTTAGTTCGTTTGTATTTTTTTGGTGAGGACGAAAGCGGCTCAGTTAGCCCACCGTGATGAATCTAACAATAGATCAATCACGATGGTTACCAGAGGGAACCACGTGGAGGTCGACCTGGCTACTAATCACTAATAATTCCTTAATTTAACTTAATTACTAATAATCCCTTCTCCCTCTACACTATTGTATTTTTTTTTCAATAGGTGAAGATGGAATAGTAACCCCGCTAGCGCTATTGGTGTACGCTAGCGGGGTACCAGTGAAGGGTATCAGGCGAGAATGAAGACAGGTCACTTGGCCCATAATAAACAATAGAATAAGAATTAACCACTATAGCTTCCAGGGGGAACCGCGTGGAGGTCGACCTGGTGTATTGCTAGCAATGGGACAGTTAAATCCCATTACTATCAATCCCTTTCCCCCCACACTATTGTATTAGGTTATAATACCTGTAGAAATAGTGATAAGTGTGAATATAAATAAATAAATAAATTCTCAACAGGTTTTCATGATTCTTTTTGCAACCGACAGAGTTCACTGCCGTGTTGGTCTCGTATTGATTTTGTGACTATTGAAAATACTGTTTCTATTTTTGAAACAAAACAGTGCTTGTTGCTAAACGAAATGCGCTTTTAATTTAAATTTAGAACGCGGAACCGCGTATCTACAACGCACGCACACATATAAATATTTTCAATGTAATGTATCTGGAATTCTCAGGAATGGCAATGCATGGGGGGTATCATGGGCGAAACACTATACTCTGTTATGTGCATGGTACTGCTCATGTCTATAGGCGACGGTTACCACTTTCCATCAGGTGGACCGTCTGCTTGTTTGCCATTCTAAGTTGTATAAAAAAAACCTGGGGGGAAGGGATTGTTAATAATGCGGACTACCAGTCTTATTGCTAGCAATGTACCCTATCAGGTTGACCTCCCGTGGTTCCCCCTGGAAACCATCGTGAACAATTCTTGTTGAATTCGTCACGATAGCCCACTGACCTACCTCATCTTTACCTATCATCCTTCACTGGTGTCCCGCCGGTGTGTACCGATAGCGCGGGTGGGATTACCATTCCATTATCACCCATTAAAAAAAAACCCTCTCCATAACCCGCTAAGTGATTTGAAGCTTTCGAGCAATCGTGTAGAACCATCCATTCACTCGGACATTCCAACATCATCCCTTAAAAAATAAAACCTGCCTTTTCATCCTCACCTATCATCCCTCACTGGTGCCCCGCCAGCGTATACCATTCCATTATCATTCATTAAAAAAACCGACTCCTCCCCACTGTTTAAAAATTTTAAACCGCCAATGTAGCCACAATAAACGCCGAATTATCCCAATTAATTCAAGCAACGCCGGGCTTTAAACATAGTCGGGTAAGCAACAAACAACACGTACAGAAATTGCTAAATCGTGAGTTTACAAAGAAAACAAATCAATTTTGCTACACTTTACACACGTTGCACTCGATTATAACCTCAAACTGCAGTATTTTAAAGTCGAAATTCCCCTAACAAATGTATAGGAACGATCTTTAAATCATTGCACATACAGTTTGCATTGTAAAACGATCTTATTGCATAGCAATAAAGTTCGTTTCTGAATGTTCGATTGTTGATTAAAACTGCGGTCGGGCAGTTGCGCAGGCGACGTGTGTGGTCCACGACGCATCGCGTGGAAAATGGCTCTACACGATTATTTTTGTTTATTTTTACACTATTATTTTGTTTTGTGAGAAATGGAGTAACATACCGTTTTATTATGCAATAAGCACACGTATAATTATACTAGCTTTTACCCGTGACTTTGTTCGCGTATTTGGAGTATTATTTTCGAAGATTATGTTTATTTTTATTCAATGCCTATATTAATTATTTCACTTCTTTTATGGATGATATTGGAATGGTTGCCCCGCCTGCGCTATTAGTATACGCTGGCGGGGCACCAGTGAGGGATGATAGGTGAGAATGAAAAGGCAGGTCAGTTAGCCCACCGTGACGAATTCCATAAGAATTGACCGCGATGTTTTCCAAGGGGAACTGCGTGGACGTCGACCTGATGGGGTATATTGCTAGCAATGGGGTTGTTAGACTTCATTATTAACAATCCCTTCCCCCCTAATGAAGTCAAAAATCTCAAAAACGAGTCGAATTTCTTGTCAGCTAATTTGACACTTAACTGACACTTTTTTTATCAGTGTTCTATATACTTACGCACACAATGTATCTTGACGTATTTACATATATTTAATTATTTAATAAATAAAATGAGTTTTTGCGCATTAAAAAATGTTTAAAAATTATAAGACAAAATAAATATAGAAGTAATAAAGGAATATTTGTCACGCAAAATTGTATGATAAAGTTGAGCCGCTTTTTTCGAAGCATTTGTATGGAAATACTCTATCTATATATTCTAAGGGAGAGGCCTATGTTCAACAGTGGACGGTTTTTTTTTAATGGGTGAAAATGGAATGACAATCCCACCCGCGCTATCGGTATACACCGGCGGGGCATCAGTGAAGGATGACAGGTGAGGATGAAGCAGGTCAGTTAGTCCATCGTGACGAATTCAACAAGAAATGTTCACAATGGTTACCAGGGGGAACCACGCGGAGGTCGACCTAATAGGATATATTGCTAGCAATCAAACTACATTGCTAACAATCCGTTTCCCCCCAGAATCGACTGTTAGCCAGAACGAAGTTCGCCGAGTCAGCTAGTAATGAATAAATTTTGGAGGGCTTTTGCGACTCTGTCACGTCCGCTTGTATCAAATAATTTATACCTACTTGAGTATTCTCTGCGTTTAGTTTCCAAATATGTCATTAACGAAAAGTACCTACTTCACATAAAGTGATATGTTGTTATTTGAAATAACTCATTATCAAGTCTTTTGTCGTGACAAACTCTTGTTTCCTACATTATAGGTGCTGAGGTTAAAGTGCCGTGAAATTGATGTTACGCCTTACATTTTAACTAGCTTTATTTCACGGATTCGTCCGCTTCGTATCGTAATGTTGATAGCCTATAATAATGCTTAAAAAATAAGCTATCAAATGCAAAAAGATTTTTTCTAATCCGAATCTGAATAGTTCCAGAGATAAGTGCGTTTAAACATACAAACTCTTCAGCTTTGGGGGAAAGGGATTGTTAGCAATGGAGTTTGACAGCCCCATTGCTAGCAATATGCCTTATTAGGTCGACCTCCACGTGGTTCCCCCTGGAAACCATCGTGAACGATTCTTGTTGAATACGTCACGATGGGCTAACTGACCTACTTCATCCTCACCTATCATCCTTCACTGGTGCCCCGCCGACGTATACCGATAGCGCGGGTGGGGTTACCATTCCATTATTATCGATAAAAAAAAACTCTTCCGCTTTATAGGTGTACCAGTTTTTAGGCTTTAGTGATGTTTAAGAGAGACGCTGCTGTCTATCTCTCAACTGTTAAGTTCCTTTAGTCGCCTCTCACGATACCTACGGAAAGGAAGGGTTGGCCCATTGTGTCCCGGGACCTACACGGGTCTAATATTAATGTGAAAATGTTTGTTTGTTAGCTCTTGGCACCTTAACAAGCAGCCAATTGTCATGAAAATGTATATCGGAGCCAACCGGTCGATCGCGACTATCAGTCCAGTGGATGGTGGCAACGCGAACACAATATAATATATTGCTAATCCAGCGGAAGATGCTCGGACGCAACGCTCGCACTAATATAAATAAGTTTTTTTTTTTTTTGATGGGTGAAAATGTTACGGCAACCCCGCCTGCGTTAACGGGATACGCTGGCGGAGCACTAGTGAAGGGTGATAGATGAGAATGAAAACAGGCCAGTTAGCCCATCATGATGAATTCATCAGGAATTAACCATGATAGTTACCAGGGGTTACCGCGAGGAGGTCGACCTGGTTGGGTATATTGCTAGCAATGGGATTCTCAGTCTCTATTACTAACAATCCCTTTCCCCCCAATATAAATAAGTAGTTGCTGAGAATCAGTTTCAGTTTTATGTTTTCCCTCTTAATACAATAAAAAACATTACAATACTACATAGTCGTGTACTGAACTA